CGAAATCTTGTCAAAAGTTGTCGGAAAATAAAATAACATGTTCGAATTCGGCATCGAATCATTGAGTTCGCACAAAATACAGCAAAATCTGATTTTTCGTCAATTTTTGAAGGCCCATATTTTGTTAAGTTTAGTTCTGCTGATGATCATACTTTGGTGTTAGACACTTGACTTGTACATGTCATCGAAATCGTTGTCAAAAGTTGTCGGCATATCAAGCAACATATTCGAATTCGGCCTCGATATATCGAGTACGCATCAAATTTCAGAAAATCTTGTTTTTGGCCTGTATTTGAAGCCACATAAATCATAAAGTCCCGCTTTGTTCCCTTCAACTTTTATATACAATACTTTTCACTATTGGTACTATTCAAAATTACTGTTAAAAGTTGTCGGCACTTTGCGGATCATATTCGAATTCGGCATCGAATCATTGAGTTCGCACGAAATACAACAAAATCTGATTTTTCGTCAATTTTTGAAGGGCCATATTTTGTTAAGTTTTGTTCCGCTGTTGATCATACTTTGGTGTTAGCCACTTGACTTATATATGTGATCGAAATCGTTGTCAAAAGTTGTCGGCAAATAAAGCAGCATGTTCGAATTTGGCCTCAATATATCGAGTTCGCATCAAATTTCGGAAAATCTTGTTTTTGGCCTGTATTTGAAGCCTCATAAATCATAAAGTCCCTAAAGTCCCGCTTTGTTTCCTTCAACTTTTATATATAATACCTTTCACTATTAGTACTATTCAAAATTACTGTTAAAAGTTGTCGGCACTTTGCGGATCATATTCGAATTCGGCATCGAATCATTGAGTTCGCACGAAATACAGCAAAATCTGATTTTTTGTCAATTTTTGAAGGGCCGTATTTTGTTAAGTTTTGTTCCGCTGTTGATCATACTTTGGTGTTAGCCACTTGACTTATACATGTGATCGAAATCGTTGTCAAAAGTTGTCGGAATAAAAAGCAACATATTCGAATTCGGCTTCGATATATCGAGTACGCATCAAATTTCAGAAAATCTTGTTTTTGGCCTGTATTTGGAGCCCCATAAATCATAAAGTCCCGCTTTGTTACCTTCAACTTTTATATATAATACCTTTCACTATTGTTACTATTCAAAATTACTGTTAAAAGTTGTCGACACTTTGCGGATCATATTCGAATTCGGCATCGAATCATTGAGTTCGCTCGAGATACAGCAAAATCTGATTTTTTGTCAATTTTTGAATGGCCATATTTTGTTAAGTTTTGTTCCGCTGTTAATCATACGTTGGTGTTAGACACTTGACTTGTACATGTCATCGAAATCGTTTTCAAAAGTTGTCGGCAAATAAAGCAACATGTTCGAATTTGGCTTCGATATATCGAGTTCCCATCAAATTTTCGAAAATCTTGTTTTTGGCCTGTATTTGAAGCCCCATAAATCATAAAGTCCCGCTTTGTTCCCTTAAACTTTTATATATAATACCTTTCACTATTGGTACTATTCAAAATTACTGTTAAAAGTTGTCGGCACTTTGCGGATCATATTTGAATTTGTCATCGAATCATTGAGTTTGCACGAAATACAGCAAAATCTGATTTTTCGTCAATTTTTGAATGGCCATATTTTGTTAAGTTTTGTTCCGCTGTTGATCATACTTTGGTGTTAGACACTTGACTTGTTCATGTCATCGAAATCGTTGTCAAAAGTTGTCGGCAAATAAAGCAGCATGTTCGAATTTGGCCTCAATATATCGAGTTCGCATCAAATTTCGGAAAATCTTGTTTTTGGCCTGTATTTGAAGCCCCATAATTCATAAAGTCCCGCTTCGTTCCCTTCAACTTTTATATATAATACCTTTCACTATTGGTACTATTCAAAATTACTGTTAAAAGTTGTCGGCACTTTGCGGATCATATTTGAATTCGGTATCGAATCATTGAGTTCGCACGAAATACAGCAAAATCAGATATTTCGTCAATTTTTGAAGGGCCATATTTTGTTAAGTTTTGTTCCGCTGTTGATCATACTTTGGTGTTAAACACTTGACTTATACATGTGATCGAAATCGTTGTCAAAAGTTGTCGGCATATAGAGCAACATATTCGAATTTGGCCTCGATATATCGAGTACGCATCAAATTTCAGAAAAGCTTGTTTTTGGCCTGTATTTGAAGCCCCATAAATCATGAAGTACCGCTTTGTTCCCTTCAACTTATATATATATTACATTTCACTATTGGTACTATTCAAAATTACTGTTAAAAGTTGTCGGCATATCGCGGATCATATTCGTATTCGGCATCGAATTATTAAGTTCGCACTAAATATAGCAAATTATGATTTTTTGTCAATTTTTGAAGGGCCATATTTTGATAAGTGTTGTTCCGCTGTTGATCATACTTTGGTGTTAGACACTTTACTTGTACATGTCATCGAAATCGTTGTCAAAAGTTGTCGGCAAATAAAGCAACATGTTCGAATTTGGCCTCGATATATCGAGTTCGCATCAAATTTCGGAAAATCTTGTTTTTGGCCTGTATTTGAAGCCCCATAAATCATAAAGTCCCGCTTTGTTCCCCTCAACTTTTATATATAATACTTTTCACTATTTGTACTATTCAAAATTACTGTTAAAAGTTGTCGGCACTTTGCGGATCATATTCGAATTCGGCATCGATATGTCGAGTACGCATCAAATTTCAGAAAATCTTGTTTTTGGCCTGTATTTGAAGCCCCAATAATCATAAAGTCCCGCTTTGTTCCCCTCAACTTTTATATATAATACTTATCACTATTGGTACTATTCAAAATTACTGTGAAAAGTTGTCGGCACTTTGCGGATCATATTCGAATTCGGCATCGAATCATTGAGTTCGTACGAAATACAGCAAAATCTGATTTTTTGTCAATTTTTGAAGGGCCATATTTGGTTAAGTTTTGTTCCGCTGGTGATCATACTTTGGTGTTAGACACTTGACTTGTACATGTGATCGCAATCGTTATCAAAAGTTGTCGGCATATAAAGCAACATATTCAAATTCGGCCTCGATATACCGAGTACGCATCAAATTTCAGAAAATCTTGTTTTTCGCCTGTATTTGAAACCCCATAAATCATAAAGTCCCGCTTTGTTCCCTTCAACTTTTATATATAATACTTATCACTATTGGTACTATTCAAAATTACTGTTAAAATTGTCGGAACTTTGCAGATCATATTCGCATTTGGTCTCGAACCCTAGAGTTTGCATGTAACATTGAAAAAAATATTTTCCGATATTTTTGTGTTCCCAACAAATGTAGCCTATTTTTATTTTGTATTTTTTTTCATTCTGCAAATATATTCTAATACGTTTTAGTTTTATGTGATATACAGTTATGTATGTTGTAATTACCACTACCAGCTAAATGTGCTTAAACTTATATTCTGGTCTGAGTTGTTTCCTTCGGATCATATTATTTCAAATAGGATCCATTTATCCCTCATAAATATTGTAATAAGGGATTATTTTCCGCATGGGAACCGGTTGAAAACTGCAGAATATTTTTCCGCTGATCACAATGGTTGAGTCCTATAGTCTTAAAACGTCGCCGTCGAAAATGCAAAAAGACGGACAACTCACCAGACCTCTGTGTAGTCGTCTAGTCGAGTTGTCTCTGATGAGTTGTCCGTGTAGTCGAGTTGTGCGTCTTCCAGCATAACTTAGTTCTTGTGATAGAGCACTCCAGCTTTCTGGTTCGTATAAATAATATGAAATTAGGAAACTAGGCTACCGGTACCTAACTATGGCTGGTAGTATTATATCATTAACTTTAGTACTAGTTATTTCGAATCCTCCAGTGGTTGAAATCAATGAGGTGTCGTGTGACGTAGACCTATCAGAATAATATCATCCTGCTTTCTAATTTGAATGGTTAGGTTGAGATTAAAGGAGCGTTGACACTGGTTGCGACGCGACATGCGTGGGAGATCGCTCCCTATTGTTTCAAATGACGATTACTGTACACACAAGGCTGAGGGTGACGAGCGGTGTCGCTTCAGTTTCTCTCGGCGTCTTTCTTTTTGACGCGCGCCGTAAGGGCGCATAGGATAGGATTTACGTATCCCGGGGGGGGGAAGAAAGCCGATAAGACGGCCTAATCATATGGCGAACCTCGGCCTCTTGTCTAGTTACCAGTCCGGGTCGGGTATGGGATTAGTTAGCCAGTTATTTTGTTTTCGGAAGCATGGAATTGATTGACACCGCTGAGCAGTTATGGTCGAGCGACACATTATTTGACATTCATTTATTATTTTTGTAAATTATAGCTGCCAAAGATATAATATTAATGCCCGAGGATATTATTTATTTGTGAGCATATTTATATTTGGAGTCATCCCGGACAGTTCCATGTTATTATACTCTATGACAAGTTTGCTTTCTTGTGGGAGTTGAATCTAGAGTGCATTGCAATGGTATTCAGCTATCAATATACTCTACATTGAATGCAATTTCTATTTGGCGTCTCCAAAAATGGACAACTGCTCATGTCCAAGCACAAATGTATTGAATGATAGGGTCTCATGTAGTTTCGTACCTAACACGAGACCCGAATGATAAACTAGTTGAAATTAGTTCATTGCGATGTAGTGAATGCTTGGTTTAATTTTATTTAATAATCAGAATATGGCAATTGGGTTACTCCTGCTGGTCTGACATAGCAAAATAAAAATTATTCAAACTATTTCGTTGATATTCAACACAATGAACTGTAATATTGATGATGATTTATACTACCAGACTACGGTTACCGTATTGTATAAATTCTGCATATGTCCTTGCAGAGTCGTCCTTTTTGTAATTAAGTTCGATGTTCAAACTAGTTTTCTATTTTAAACTTGGTAAGTTTGAACTTTAATGTTCTTTAATGATTAATCGTATATAGGACTTTCATCTTCCCGGCTTCATATTTGTAATGTGTGACTACAGTCTGACTGATATTTTATTTTAAATTGTGTTCGTTGTTCTATTCTTTTTATAATTAACGATTTCTGCATCTGTGTTTCTAAGCAGTAAGCAACCTCACCTGGCGCCATCGAGTGATATACAACTGACGCGAGACCATGGGCGCTGCTGCGGCTCGTTCAGTGTGAACACACCTTTAATCATGATAAAGTTGACCCATTTATAGCACACCCAACTGCCCTGGCGAATTATTGAATGATCACAATTGAAAAATTGTGTTTTTCCAGGATTCAATATCATAACTATAGTAAAAAATTGGCATAGTATTTACAAATGGACTGCTGGAACTTGTTATGATAAACAAAGGGTGATTACAGATTTACAGTCTTGATAATAATTGACCATGAGTGAGTGAAATACTAAAATAATGGATGAAAAGGTGAAATCACTATCTCTGGATGAGGTTATGTGTCCTGTATGCTTGGATATATTCATTGAACCAATTACTATGTCCTGCTCCCATGAGTTGTGCAATGAATGTTATCAGCAACATTTCAAAAATTGTAATTTTGAGTGTCCAATGTGCAAAAAGAGGCTCAGTACGTGGGCTAGAAGGGCAAGTGCTCAAGGAAAATTAATAAACAAATCAAAATGGGCAAAAATACAGGAGGAATATCCAGATTTAGTTGCTCGTCGCCTCGATGGAAAAAGTAACAGTCAAACTTTTATGCAAACAGAGCCTGTGGATTTATCTATAGCAGAACCGGGGGAGTTGCAAGAGGAATACCTCACAATGCGACAAGAGTGGCTTCTAGAAAGTTCTTCCCAGCGAAGAGAACAAGAAGAAGCATCTTTAAATCTGATCAAACAAATTCAAGAAGAAGAAAAAAATGAAATCGAGCGACGACAAAAAATTCAACAGGAAGCTGATCAACAACTTGCTATAAAACTCAGTAAAGAGTTGGAGATGAATGTTAGTCCAAGTCTGGTCAATAAAATAATTCTACGGCCACGCAAAGTACTTACCTCGATATGTGAAAATTCTCCGAATACTAGCGAGGTCAAAAGAAAATCAATGCCTATATCTACTAGAAAGACACGAAAACGTAAAAGAAGCCAAGTATAACCTAATGAATTTCAACCCATCTGTTTGTTTTGTGAGACTCGAATGGTTATGCTAATTAATGGAACCTTTCAAACTAAAATTAGTAACAAACTAAAATTGTTGAGTTTGAGAATGTTCATTTTACTGTGATTTCTAACACTGTAGGTGATTTATCAAGTATCAAAATAATTTGGAGAGAAGTTGTAACTTGCTCTTGTTGAGAACAATTTAATATCTAATGTTCCAGTCATGAATAATATTAATAACTATGTTCGCATCGAAGGTAAAAAATATCTAGTTTACACAGTTGCTCCTTTGCATATCTGTGACTACTTATACAGAGCCTTGTTCAAGAATGCTCACACACCTTTCTCTCCACTAGTGTGTAAAAATTGGTGCGTAATTCTGAACTGGGAATATTCTTATATAAATACTATGTTCTATGCATATTTACCGCTGCTCATACATGGTCTTGTTCAAAAGTGTTAAAAAAAACTTACCTATTTCTAATAAATTTAAAATGCTTCTCAGCACAGCTGTCTGTTGTGATGGGTATTTCAAATACAAAGCGGTAAACTTTCATTGCCCAGGATTTTGAGTTGCTTCATTATTATTATAAATACCAATTTCCATCGCAAGAAAAGTTAATTCTCCCATGCCTATCTGTTCAACGGGATATCTGTAGGATTAAAGTTTATCTAAATTGTATTTTCCTTTAAAACCCTTTGTGGGAGTAGTGTGGAAAATGACTATATTTTCAGCCATTATTTTGTTCATTGATAGAATACATTTGTCTACCTCTAAAATGTCCCTATATTAGACTGTTGCAAACTACATTTTAATGGCTCTGTAGGATTTGTGAACTTCGTGGAACTGGATGGAATGAAACTATTTTTTTTTTAGATTGTTTTTTCTTTAGTGAATGCAAACACTTATTCAAAAATTGAAGTTAATTCTGAGCCTTTTCTGAGTTTTTTGTTCATTTCATTTTTCTTTCTCATTGCCGAAATATTTCTTTATTTTTATTTAAGTTTATTAAAATGTTTCCTGACTAATTGTGTGGAAGTGGAACAGTAATCCAGTTGTGACTTCAGAAAATGTTTGGTGTACCTAAATTATATTGTGGAGTAACTGGCGATCATCACATCACTGGAATCATTTAATATGTGGATTATATCCACATCCACATTTTTTTCGCAATCACTCGAGGTGGGCCTGAGGCACACGATCTTGTTCTTCCAAAAACATTTCTTAAGAAGTATGGTACTATTCCTCTCACACGACAAATTCATATGTTGATATTTTCAGAGAAGTTTGCTTCTTCTAATAACATAATTGGCTTGCAGGTAATTTACGGAATTATTTCGAGTTACGGAAGTGAAGTTACGAATTACGTAAAGTCGTAATTATTGGTCGAGCGCTTTCGCGATTGAAACGAGCTCTCTTCAGAGAAGTCAATTTCGTCGATTGTAAAAAATTAAAGTTTAAGTAAAAGAAGTTAGAGTTCCGGTATTCGCAGCCGTTTTTCTCTCTCTTGTTAGGCAGATGGGAAGGCATAACGCGTCATTTACTAACCTATTATCAACTTATCTAGGATGGCCAATGTACATATTAACCGTAGATAAGGAATAGAATTGTGTTGAGACCGATGGACGTCAACACACCTGGTTTCAACTTCTTCGGGTGAAATGACTAAAGAATGTAAGAGATCAACTTATAAAACATGGTCTATTTGTAAATGCCGTGATAATTAATGTCGCGCTTATCAAACAGCAATATAAAGACGGAAGAGAAATTGTGTAATGAACCAACGCAACTTAGTCTTTTCGGCATCGGTAAAGCGATTGAGACGGCGGAGAAACAACAATACGACCGGATTTCCCGTGTTTCTATTACAAAATCTTGATGTTATGTTACCGATTTTATCGTTATATATCTGTCCGGACTTGGCATTGCTCAATATGTTTTTCATAATGCCTCGCAATATGTCGGCCAAATATGATTACCTGTCTTTAACAAATGCGGCAACTTATTTTGATTTATCGTCGACTCTAATACCACCAGCACTCGACCAAACTTGTGTCAATCTTGGCAAATAGGATTGTCGACTTGAGTTAGAAAAATAAATTAATATTTTCATGAGTGCAAAATAAATGTCACAAAATGCATTGTTTTGCGATATAATTTTGTATTTTCGGAGAAGGCATGTCATATAAGTACGTTATTTTAAATAATGCGCAAATAATTAATATTTGATCTAAATTTATCGCAAATAATGTTATGGGCCGCGAAATGATTTAATGTAAAATGAAGCATGGAATTCGGAATATCGTCAATAAGTCAGCATCAATAATTATTATAAAATGCTAACTAAGTAGTAAAGTCGGATATTGTAAAAACGGTGAAATAACAAGTCTTCGTCGCGAGGCAAGCTAAAGTATAATCAAACGAGAGAATACGCTTGTAGTTGATTTAATAAATTAGCAACCCGGAATTTTATTTAATACGAAATCCGTATTAATACGTTAATACGATTTTGAAAAAGTGAACTATCGGTTCTTAAATATATTACCAGAGTTGGTAATGATAAAATTGATCGCATAAAATTTGGTGATAGAGTGGATAACAGAATCAAAGCTAATACAAAAGATAAAAATCAGAATAAAATTATTTTGAATTCACTCCTTGATATTTGTCTTTAACATCTGTCGCCGGCGTGTAGTACTGCCGGGAATATGAAAACCAAACTTCGATGTCCCATTCGGAATAGAAGTGGATTAAATTGGTTGTTATGATAGGTTTAAATGTGTGAAAAAATATCGCAATTACGGGGTCATTACGTAATCGATTTGGCCGTAATTACGGAATTGATTTTTGTCAATTACGTGCAAGCCTACATAGTACCTTCTTGTTATTACCGATAAGCAGTGTTCCCTCTAAGGTGTGCGCGCGCTCACAGCTTTCAGAGGCTGCGCACACGCATAGATTTACTGCGCACAGACGTATTTCGATGTAATGCAACAATGTTCTCGGTTGGCAGGTTGAGAAAGTTTGTTGTTGGCCCACCCATTACCCGGTTAAAACGCCAAAATTTCTTCATTGGTTTTTGCACAAATATTAGTCAATTCCAAAAAAGTGCGCACACACCAAAATTTCTGCGCACACATTCGACAAAAACTTAGAGGGAACATTGCCGATAAGGATTTCAGCAGTGATATTCTGCATATATTTCTCAAAGTACAAGGCAAAAACAAACAAATATACGGAAAAGTGGGCAAAAAAGATTTAAGACGTGCTCATGCACTTGCCCACTTACCTCAAATAGCGAACAATACATTGAAGTAAATTTTAAAAACACATGATAACTCCATATACAACGGACAAAATTCTTTCTAAACTGCATAGTAGATGTATGAGTAACTCCTTATTCAACGCCTTGTTTAAAGGGGTGATGCTATCACCAAATCTTTATCGAATGATCTTGGCAAAAACAAAATCTTAAACTACAGTGGCACATCACCAGTCAGATCCCAGCAAATTTGTGTACCAGGTGAAGTCAAATCACACTGCTCCCATTTACAAGACGAGTCCCAGTCATTATAGATTTCATAAACAATAATAAAGTGGATGAGAGAATTGTCAATATTGTTCCATCGTAATACGGCCTCATTGTTGATAATCCGACATTCCTACTGCAACTGTGTTGGGTGGCGCATAACCTGAACATAGTAGTTTTGACACGATTTTGACATACTTGTAAAAAAACAATTATTAATGATAAATTTCATTTGAAAATTATTAGAAACTGTGGACAATTTTTAAACCATTCCATAGAAAATCCGGCGAGTACTTGCAGCCGGCTTATTATGGAAAATCGCTTCATCTTCAATCGTAATCTCTAATGTAGCAGACCCGATAGTGCGACATTATCATCTCAGGCGCGTTTTTACGGCGGGAAAATGGTTCATTCTGACAAAGGAATGAATCTTTATATAGGATAGGATTTACATATTATCTCGGGGAATAGGAAAGCCGATGAGACGACTTAACCATATGGCGAACCACGGCCTCTCGTCCGGTTTCCATGTCGGGTATGACTAGGGTTACCATATTTTTGTGACTTTACATTTTCCGATTTTACTACATCGGCCTCCATTTAAAGACTCTTCATTGACATATTGCTATCGAGAGTTCATGCGCATATTCTCTGTCCAAATATCGGGTTCAGTTCGAAAAATAGAAAGGAATTGACGTTACTAATACAAATAATTCAAATTTAGATTTTTTATGTACAGCAAAAGGAAGAAAGATAGCCTGCCGTTTTCAAGCATTGAGAATTTACTTATTCGCCTAAGCATGCTTTTCTGTAGATAACGCCTTCGTCAAAAAGACGTTGTTCAATGTTACATTCACGTGAACGTCAGAACAGGACCAATTACTATTGATTTTACATGTGATACGTTACGGAAACAACGAAACAAACAAATAACGGATTTACCTCCAGCAAATGGGCTAGCGCTGGGCTGCACAGCAACAACAGTAACGAAAACATGTTATTTTGTATAGTGTTCGTGTATTATAGTGGATGGTGTAATGCCAACGCGGGACGTTTGGCTGACTTGTCATGACGGCGGGACAACACGCGATAAAGCGGGACTGTCCCACCCAGTATGTTCCCCAGCTTTTCTCTTCAGGGGGGCGGGGGGTGTTTCAAAATTTAGGGGGTGGTAAATAATTTGCTGTTAGAGATAAAACTAGGCTATTTGTATTCTTAAAAAAATGGTATGTATTTAAGAAACGATGTACATGGGGGCCCCCAAGTTGATTGACGGCGAGCCAAAATCCAGAGCAGAATGAAATTGTAGGGCCAGAAAAGGGGAGCGAGGAAAAGTGCGGGACGACACGGCTGGGGTTGAGGGCGCGCTTAAGCGCCCTGAGAAAATTTCGAGAAATAGGCACCAAAATAGGCTCTAAGCTTGATTTTGGATACACCTAGCATCGCAGTTTCAGAGCGCTTTCGCGATTGAAACGAGCTCTCTTCAGAGAAGTCAATTTCGTCGATTGTAAAAAATTAAAGTTTAAGTAAAAGAAGTTAGAGTTCCGGTATTCGCAGCCGTTTTTCTCTCTCTTGTTAGGCAGATGGGAAGGCATAACGCGTCATTTACTAACCTATTATCAACTTATCTAGGATGGCCAATGTACATATTAACCGTAGATAAGGAATAGAATTGTGTTGAGACCGATGGACGTCAACACACCTGGTTTCAACTTCTTCGGGTGAAATGACTAAAGAATGTAAGAGATCAACTTACAAAACATGGTCTATTTGTAAATGCCGTGATAATTAATGTCGCGCTTATCAAACAGCAATATAAAGACGGAAGAGAAATTGCGTAATGAACCAACGCAACTTAGTCTTTTCGGCATCGGTAAAGCGATTGAGACGGCGGAGAAACAACAATACGACCGGATTTCCCGTGTTTCTATTACAAAATCTTGATGTTATGTTACCGATTTTATCGTTATATATCTGTCCGGACTTGGCATTGCTCAATATGTTTTTCATAATGCCTCGCAATATGTCGGCCAAATATGATTACCTGTCTTTAACAAATGCGGCAACTTATTTTGATTTATCGTCGACTCTAATACCACCAGCACTCGACCAAACTTGTGTCAATCTTGGCAAATAGGATTGTCGACTTGAGTTAGAAAAATAAATTAATATTTTCATGAGTGCAAAATAAATGTCACAAAATGCATTGTTTTGCGATATAATTTTGTATTTTCGGAGAAGGCATGTCATATAAGTACGTTATTTTAAATAATGCGCAAATAATTAATATTTGATCTAAATTTATCGCAAATAATGTTATGGGCCGCGAAATGATTTAATGTAAAATGAAGCATGGAATTCGGAATATCGTCAATAAGTCGGCATCAATAATTATTATAAAATGCTAACTAAGTAGTAAAGTCGGATATTGTAAAAAACGGTGAAATAACAAGTCTTCGTCGCGAGGCAAGCTAAAGTATAATCAAACGAGAGAATACGCTTGTAGTTGATTTAATAAATTAGCAACCCGGAATTTTTATTTAATACGAAATCCGTATTAATACGTTAATACGATTTTGAAAAAGTGAACTATCGGTTCTTAAATATATTACCAGAGTTGGTAATGATAAAATTGATCGCATAAAATTTGGTGATAGAGTGGATAACAGAATCAAAGCTAATACAAAAGATAAAAATCAGAATAAAATTATTTTGAATTCACTCCTTGATATTTGTCTTTAACATCTGTCGCCGGCGTGTAGTACTGCCGGGGAATATGAAAACCAAACTTCGATGTCCCATTCGGAATAGAAGTGGATTAAATTGGTTGTTATGATAGGTTTAAATGTGTGAAAAAATATCGCAATTACGGGGTCATTACGTAATCGATTTGGCCGTAATTACGGAATTGATTTTTGTCAATTACGTGCAAGCCTACATAGTACCTTCTTGTTATTACCGATAAGCAGTGTTCCCTCTAAGGTGTGCGCGCGCTCACAGCTTTCAGAGGCTGCGCACACGCATAGATTTACTGCGCACAGACGTATTTCGATGTAATGCAACAATGTTCTCGGTTGGCAGGTTGAGAAAGTTTGTTGTTGGCCCACCCATTACCCGGTTAAAACGCCAAAATTTCTTCATTGGTTTTTGCACAAATATTAGTCAATTCCAAAAAAGTGCGCACACACCAAAATTTCTGCGCACACATTCGACAAAAACTTAGAGGGAACATTGCCGATAAGGATTTCAGCAGTGATATTCGGCATATATTTCTCAAAGTACAAGGCAAAAACAAACAAATATACGGAAAAGTGGGCAAAAAAAGATTTAAGACGTGCTCATGCACTTGCCCACTTACCTCAAATAGCGAACAATACATTGAAGTAAATTTTAAAAACACATGATAACTCCATATACAACGGACAAAATTCTTTCTAAACTGCATAGTAGATGTATGAGTAACTCCTTATTCAACGCCTTGTTTAAAGGGGTGATGCTATCACCAAATCTTTATCGAATGATCTTGGCAAAAACAAAATCTTAAACTACAGTGGCACATCACCAGTCAGATCCCAGCAAATTTGTGTACCAGGTGAAGTCAAATCACACTGCTCCCATTTACAAGACGAGTCCCAGTCATTATAGATTTCATAAACAATAATAAAGTGGATGAGAGAATTGTCAATATTGTTCCATCGTAATACGGCCTCATTGTTGATAATCCGACATTCCTACTGCAACTGTGTTGGGTGGCGCATAACCTGAACATAGTAGTTTTGACACGATTTTGACATACTTGTAAAAAAACAATTATTAATGATAAATTTCATTTGAAAATTATTAGAAACTGTGGACAATTTTTAAACCATTCCATAGAAAATCCGGCGAGTACTTGCAGCCGGCTTATTATGAAAAATCGCTTCATCTTCAATCGTAATCTCTAATGTAGCAGACCCGATAGTGCGACATTATCATCTCAGGCGCGTTTTTACGGCGGGAAAATGGTTCATTCTGACAAAGGAATGAATCTTTATATAGGATAGGATTTACATATTATCTCGGGGAATAGGAAAGCCGATGAGACGACTTAACCATATGGCGAACCACGGCCTCTCGTCCGGTTTCCATGTCGGGTATGACTAGGGTTACCATATTTTTGTGACTTTACATTTTCCGATTTTACTACATCGGCCTCCATTTAAAGACTCTTCAATGACATATTGCTATCGAGAGTTCATGCGCATATTCTCTGTCCAAATATCGGGTTCAGTTCGAAAAATAGAAAGGAATTGACGTTACTAATACAAATAATTCAAATTTAGATTTTTTATGTACAGCAAAAGGAAGAAAGATAGCCTGCCGTTTTCAAGCATTGAGAATTTACTTATTCGCCTAAGCATGCTTTTCTGTAGATAACGCCTTCGTCAAAAAGACGTTGTTCAATGTTACATTCACGTGAACGTCAGAACAGGACCAATTACTATTGATTTTACATGTGATACGTTACGGAAACAACGAAACAAACAAAATAACGGATTTACCTCCAGCAAATGGGCTAGCGCTGGGCTGCACAGCAACAACAGTAACGAAAACATGTTATTTTGTATAGTGTTCGTGTATTATAGTGGATGGTGTAATGCCAACGCGGGACGTTTGGCTGACTTGTCATGACGGCGGGACAACACGCGATAAAGCGGGACTGTCCCACCCAGTATGTTCCCCAGCTTTTCTCTTCAGGGGGGCGGGGGGTGTTTCAAAATTTAGGGGGTGGTAAATAATTTGCTGTTAGAGATAAAACTAGGCTATTTGTATTCTTAAAAAAATGGTATGTATTTAAGAAACGATGTACATGGGGGCCCCCAAGTTGATTGACGGCGAGCCAAAATCCACAGCAGAATGAAATTGTAGGGCCAGAAAAGGGGAGCGAGGAAAAGTGCGGGACGACACGGCTGGGGTTGAGGGCGCGCTTAAGCGCCCTGAGAAAATTTTGAGAAATAGGCACCAAAATAGGCTCTAAGCTTGATTTTGGATACACCTAGCATCGCAGTTTGTTATGTAATAAAATCAATAATTATAATATTTAGCTGATAGAATTCTCGGGGAATAGATAACAAGCACGGCTTTCAACCGTAAATATATACTACTACGTTTCAACAAGTAATTTGCAACTGATAGTGACTAATGAAGTTACTTGCTCATCTAACATTGTATGAATGGCTACTTATGGCTTGTTTTGTTACACATTTCTAATTTTTTTGAACATGTTTGTTTGACTTTTGTATGAATTAAATTTTGAAATATGCTCGTCAACTAATAATAATGTTGTATTCCTTCAGAACTGAAATATTTTGTAAGGAGACAAATCGCTGAAGTTTAATTCTTTTCAATAAAGAAATAAAAACGCTGTCATTCATCTAAAAAACGTCTGTTTTCAGTTCCTAGTTTTCGTTTTGTGACATCTTCAAGCCTTCTTAATATATGGCTGATATCTAAAATACTGCAGTGTGTAATCATAATACCCATACCTATACATAAGATACCGGAATAATTCAATTGTTACGAAATAAACGTGCTTAAACTGTGATAATGATGTAACAATAGACGGTATCTAAAACTCAAAGGGTACCACATGAAGCAAGTGCAGTTTTAAGTATTCTATGGCGTCTGCAGCTGCCGCAAAACCATGGCGGTATTTCCATACCATGGCCGCTACGGCCAAACCTATGGCGACTGACTTTTTAGCTGCCACAAACCAATGTCGAGCTGCCGTTACCGCGGCAGCAAATTGAAAACCAATGGCAGGTAAAATTTTGCTGCCGTAACCGCGGCAGGCGGGCCGTAAGCACAGGGCTGTCCCTTATGGTGACAAATATTTAGTAAGTTGGAACGTTTTTCTTATGGATACAGTGTTGATGGATTTGGGGTTAGGGTTAGGGTTTAAGTAAATATATTTCCGCATGATCAATTAGAATTTGGTACATTAGTTTGTGAATATACCGTTAATACTGATTACTGAATACAGAATAGCGCTATAAAACCATGGCAAGAGCTGCCGCGGTTCGTTCGTGGCAGGAGCTGCCATGACGTGGTAAGAACTGCGCCTCACATGAAGGGTTAAACTATTTCACTCAAGTTCGGCGGGCCATTTTAAATCGTCACGCGGGCCGTAATTGGCCCGCAGACTGCGGTTTAGAACCCCTCAGTGTGGAATCGCACCCCAAAATTAGGGCGGGGGGTGCTTGAAATTTTAGGGGAGGTGTTCACCCCCTATAGCGGGGTGTAGGGAAATCACTGGTCCCACCTAAAGCGGGACGTATGGTAAGCCTAGGTATGGCATTAGTTAGTTATTTGTTGTTCGGAAGCATAGACTTAGTGGCAGAGGAGGCCGTAACCGACCAGCGGTCACGTGGACCACCCTACGGCGGCGAGTAGTCCAGCAATCCTCACGCACATAACCATCCCCGCATGGGATTCGATCCTGCGAACCCACGCAGAGTAATCAGATGTGCGGTGGCAAGCGTTTTTCTAAACTTAAAGCACAATGAGTCCATGATAGTAATACCGCCGCGTATTTGTTTTAAAATGGTAGATCCACGCTGGGCACATTGTAAAAATGCGATTAACCAGCAAACTGTGGAGACTTTGCACAACATTTGAAGTGACGTCACTGTGATAACTCACCCATGACAAAATGTGAAATCACACGCACGTTGGCGTTCTCGCGTCTCTTTCTGTTCATCAGTCCTACAGTGTGGATCTGATTATTTCTGGCTCACCGCTGTTCTCGTATTTTATCGTATTTCGAGATTACGTCGGCCGGTAGACACTAAAAAACATCATGAGTGCGTACAAGGAGACTGGCAAAGCTCCCCCAGGTTTGTGAATTCAACTAGCTTATGTTTTATGTTACTGCATTTCGGCCGTTGCGTACGGTGCTCGTGAATGCATCCTGCTGTACTGGTGAAACTCATTGGCACAGTACGGTATGCTGGTAGCTTAATTCAGTATAGAGTTGGTATATGCATACCCGTAGTCTATCAGAGAATTCAATTCAATAAGTGACTTGAACATTGAATAAATAGTGCATCAACCAGTAATAAAATTTATGCTTCGTGTATATATCTGAAAATAGTCAATACTCAAAGCCTTGTACATACAGTAATCTGATAATCGTACATCCTATGCATACCCGTTAGCTGTCCATATAGTTGTATCATTACCTCAAGTCAATACCAAAAAACATTGTTCATTTTATCATTATATTTATTCTTTTGTTTACGATTGTGTTTGGTTGACGAATCAAAAAATCTGTTTGCCTGACGTATCAAAAAATCTGTTTGCCTATGGAGAACTGCACTGAAAAATAGAGCTTGCAAAAAAGTCAAAATTGATTGCTTTGGATAGTTCGACATGAAGCCTCATTTTTCGAGTTTAATGTTCATAGAAACTTCAGATTTAAAAAAAAGCTTCAACTGTCAGACTGTTGAATAAAATGTTTTTTTTTCTTCACTTGATTAATCTGTTTCATTTTGACATCTGCATAATCTATTTTTTCCCCTAATTTCTTATTAACTGATCGTCTGCTTATTTTTAATATGCAATGTTGTAAATAGAATAGCTAACATAAAAGTTCAGTATTTTGGAATTCTATTTCTGATTTCACAGCCGAATATTCACAAACTACATTACACTAATATTTGTCATTAATCGGGATTTTGAAATTATACAAAAATAATTAATAATCTGTTTTCTTGTATATTTTTTATCAGCAATAATTTTAAACTCTGGAAACCAAATTGTTTTGTCAAACCCTTTTTCTAATAATTTTTGAGAAGACCTAAATTGACAAATTAAATTTTATTGATCGAGAGGATTTTGATCAGTTGGGTACTTTTGGCATCATTCATTTGTTTAATATTTCATTCTTACACATTCTAGGGGAAGAACCTCCAATTCATAAGATTCGAATTACATTAACATCGAAGAATGTTCCCAGCCTGGAAAAGGTCTGTGCTGATCTGATCAAAGGTGCAAAAGAGAAGCAGCTTCGTGTAAAAGGACCTGTGAGAATGCCAACCAAGGTCCTTCGTATCACCTGTCGTAAAACACCTTGCGGAGAAGGTTCGAAGACATGGGATCATTACCAAATGAGAATCCACAAGAGGTTGATTGATCTTCACAGTCCATCTGAGATTGTAAAGCAAATTACTTCCATCAGCATTGAACCTGGTGTTGAAGTGGAAGTTACAATTGCTGATGGTGCCTAATTGTCTCCATTTTATGCGTTTGTTTGAATAAATGCATACACATAATTTTCTAACATTTGTAAGCTGGGCTGGTTTAGTAGAAGAGAAAGTGTGGGAGTTACTTCTGTAGTTGCAAACCTTAGAACTGAAACTTGAAATCTTGTCCAATATCGGTGACAAATTACTTTTTGCATTCATGTGTGTAAATTTTGTAATGTCTAACCAATATAATATCCAATGGCGTTGGTTCGTTTAGTGAACTTCCGGAGATATGATAGAGGACTGTATTTTATACGACATAAATTTAGGTTATGTGTGGCATATGCTTGGTACAAAACTTACCACAAAAAGTAAGGATTGCAATTTGCTGCGCTAATATGAGAAGCAGACTTGATTGCATGATTTGTAATGTCCTGTGATAATTGATTGCATGATTTGTAATGTCCTGTGATAAATAATACGCCTTTACACGACACGACAGCTACAGTCAACTGAGTATTCAAATTTGCTGCAGTTGTGTTTGTAATGGCTAGGGTGACCATAGTCCTCGTTTTGAATTATTTTTTTTTTTTACGTCCCGGCGAGGACGCTCTAAAATAGTAGTTCTCAAACTTTTTAAGCCGCGCCCAATTTTTAGAATTTGTCAAGTCATGCACACCAGTTTCAAAAATCAGATCGTAAGGCGAAAGTATTCTTTATGCATGCAAAAAAATAGTGGATGGAACATAAATAGCCGCAATAAAGAAATGCAAACAGCCAAAATGAGGCGGGCGAGATCAAACCTGACAAATATATTTATGTTTAATTAGCTTCACGCCCCCTCAAAAAAATTGTTTGCGCCCACCATTTGAGAACCTTCTCTACTCGCATCACTGTATATTGCTTTCAACCTTCGCTGTATGTTATACGAACTTTTGGAACAAATTGCGCCGTTTGCACATGCCAAATTGTTGTGAATGGTCGCGACAGTAAATTTTATTTTGGCAGTGACTGCAGCAAGATCCGGCGGCGACATTTTGTGTTGGAGCTATGCTATTTACCGGTATCTGTTTTTATCAATTATGGAGAATAAACTTAATACTTTTTGTCAATCTCATTTCTCATGTGGTAGAGATTTAAATGCTGTTCCAGCACAAATAGAACCTACAAGCTGACGAGTGTGCAAAACTTAATACTTTTTACACCAGTGAGGTTAAACTTTCTCTTTCAACGCAATTGCTACTTTTCAAAAAAATCAGTCCCGAAATCCCAACCCTGTTAAACAAGAGAAGTTCGCTGTGTTGTTTTTGCTTTATATCAGGGGTGTGCAACCTTTAATACAGGAGAGCCAGACAGAACTATATGAGTGAAACCACGCACCTCCATACAACACAGGCCGTCTAGTAGGTGCAGGCACAAAATTTTGGTTATCAATCTTGTGACATCCGTTGTTTGCACAAATTATCTGAAGGATTAGAATTACTCGCACGTACCAAATTAAATTAAACACTCGCTCCGCGGGCCGCACAATTTTTCTTTAAGGGCCGCAGGTTGCACAGCCTATAAAATTAGTTATTCTATATGTGCACCTCTATAATTTCCGTGTATGAATCAGCTGCAATACTTCGTCTGAGCGACCTTATTTTATTTTTGTTCCTGAGTTCGTAGGGTTTAGGAATTTGACGTTCTGATCGTTTACAATATTACAGTGCGCGGTTTTCGCGTTGTTTTGTTTAGTCACTGATTGGAGGGTAGCGGAACACAGTTATCCAACATGAATCTTCCACAAGTTTATCGATGTTTCACAAGCGCGCTCTGGTCAAGGTAACTGATAGTACCATATGGTTATACTAGTTTTGAATTTTTCTAATTCTGAATTCTATTAATAACTATACCTGCAGTCATACACTGATTTTGTAGTTATATCATTTAATATGAATTTATTAATTTCAACAAGAAATTCATAGCTGTCTTGTGTTGGATTGTGCATTTATTGTTTCGGATATTTCTGTATTAGGCCAACGCGACTGACTTGCATTGTGTGTTTGCATTTTTAATTTATGATACTTTATTAATACTTAAATTTTGGATAAATCCAAAAAACCTATCTGCCTTTGGTACCCAATTCTACTCCAGATCATTAAGAAAGCATGCTGTAACAATATGTTTCGTTTTGATATATTTGTCAAACTTAAAACTGTTGGAACATAACCAGACCATCTCTGTTGAAATCAAGTTAATATTCAGCCAATTACATGCTTTTAACCAGGCCACAGTGAATAGGAATTGACTATCCATATTCCTATTATATCTGAATTTTGATTTTTCATTTCACTCTTGTATTTCAATTTCAGGAGCATTTCAACAAGCGCAGTGCGCAATGGAATTGTCTTTACCCCGCACGTCATCGATAAAAATTATCGGGATAAAGAAGAAGAAATGCAGAAAGCCCAGAAAGATGACATTCGACCAAAATATCCCAAATCTGCAGAAACAGCAGTTCAAATTTTAGAAGATCCTTCAGATGAGGTCTGAATTGTGCCTGTTTCTGATATTTCTAAAAAGTCCTTCTCCATGACTAATATTCATGAATTTGGTCTAACAGAGTAATTCATATTTTACATAAATTCCCCTAATGGAAGCTTCCAAACTATAAAGTCTAAGTACACCTCATTCAGGAAGTGCCCTTGTTCTATGATCTGGTCAGTTCAATTAGTTTCAATATAACACTTAAAATTAATTTACAACAAGTAGTAAATTTGACATATTTTTTGTAAATATGTAAAAAAGAGATAAATGGGCCCACAAGATGTTGCTTTCAGCTTATTGAAAAAAATAGTAAAATATAGAAATATAACAAATCAGTTTTTCTCAAATATCGACTATATATAGGCTATTGCAATTACATCATCATAAGATCAGCAAGTCGATAAAGATATACAAAAATATAATATATTTATTTTAATTATATTGTTTTCTGTAGTGGTTGAGAGGTATATTGATTTTTCACACTTGTTTTTGTAGTATTGCAGAAACAAAACTAGTTTATGAAGCTTCTTAATCTTTTTTAATGTTCATATCATTTGCAGGGAGTGTTTGCCTTGACCGGTGTGCCAGAAGAACACATTGTAACAAGAAGAGTAAGAATATTTCGACCTGCGAAAAATGCAATGCAATCAGGAGCACAGAATATAAAACAGTGGAAAATTGAATTTGACAACAGAGAAAGATGGGAAAACCCTACAATTGGTTGGTGTTCTAAGTAAGTTGATGATTTTTCAATAATATTGAATAAACCCATTTAATAATAGGATAGAATTTACATATTTATCCCGGGGGGAGAGTAGATATAACGGCTTAATCATATGGCGAACCACGGCCTTTTGTCCTGTTACAGGATTACTTAGCTAGTTATTGCTTATCGATCTTAAGATCGGTAAGTATGTTGATAGGTATTTGTATGTCTGTTTGTTTGTCTGTTAGATGAACGCGATATCTCAAGAAGTCGAGGTTGAATCTGCTCCAAATTTTGCATGTGCATTCATCATATCTCGGACCAGAAGCCTATTGCTTTTGGATGAATTATGTTGTATAATTAGCGAGTTATTAATTAATTAGTGATGGGACACGTGGTTTCACTACAGAGTCATGAAAGGAAACCGCTTGGTCGTTAAGACTTCGGTCTCCGACCGATATTCTCGTTTGTTTTTTGGAAGCATGGACTTGATGGTGGAGGAAGCCGTAACTGACCAGTGGGTAATGTGAATCCCCACCACGGAGTCCAGCAACCTTCTCGAACATAACTATACCCACATGGATTTGAAGCTACGCAGTGTAATCAGAGATGCGATGGTTAGCGCATTTCTAACACTTAGTACGATGTGCCACACCGCTATTTTTATGCATATAATGGTGGTAATGGTACGAAAGTACTGTACTTTAAATATAATTATTAAGTGATACTGTTCGCCATAAACCATTGTTTTCACGAATTATATTCCAGTAGTCTTGTGGTGATAGCCACACATGAATTTACGTGTTTGCAAATGGACCAGTGGGATTGGGGTTTTCTTGGAAACAAAAATTTTGCTTCTAATTGCTACTAACATAGTTTCTAATATTCTCAGTTCTGATCCTCTCTCAAATATATCAATGGCTATGAGTTTCAAAACCAAAGAGCATGCAATGGAGTTCGTGGAGAGGCAAGGTAATACACTTAATTTTATTTAATTCATTGTACCTGATATTCGTTATGGGTGTTCATTGCCGAATACTCCACTATACAACTATGTCACCATCAAAAATCCCCAGCTATTCCAGTGCCAACAGACTCATTTAATACACAATAATTTCTAGTAATAATCTATGTTAGTTGGCTAATTTGCAAAATTCATATGGCATTTACCATTGATATCGGTCATTTTGAAACTCTTCTCCCCAAGCTGTTGAATTAGATGTTAGAATATTGCTGCTCAATAACCAGTTTTGGTTCCCCCGGCTTTCCTTTCCCAGTAATGTAAATATCATCTTTTGAGTGATTTTTGTCTTTTTACTGGTTGGAATGAGAATAAATTTGACTTGATATTTATATAATGTTGCAGTGACTCCGAATTAGTTGATTAAAAATCTTCTTGCTTGATTACCAGTATTTGTTTATTTTCACCCTGAAATACCATTTTCCACATTCTGTAATTTCATAATGGTAGAAAAGTAACTTCTGATTACCTGCAGCACTTAAAAGCCTAAATCACCAGTTTAACGTTCTTAGCCCATCTAGTCTTCAGCACCAAAGTAGCGATAATACCCTTTGACGTGGAAACTAGAAACACTCTTATTCTCCCAACTCTACTGGCTGATATTAATAACCTACGTAATATTCTTCGAATATTTAGGATGGTCATACTTCATAGAGGAACCGGTTGAAAAACAAATGCAGCCGAAGTCATACGCAGCTAACTTTTCTTGGGATAAACGTTCAAGAAGAGCAATGAAATGATTTGTCATAAGTCCTGTATATTTATAGATATTTTTGTTCTCTTGTGAAAAAATAGGTAATAAAACTAAAATGAGATACATGCACAGTGTAAGCTGATCTATGTACTATTTTCTGTAAAATTACGACAGCAATTGGTCATGATACTTTATCATGCAAGAAGATATAGACCAAAAATGGGGTTGTTATATGAAATCAATCAGCTGGTTATACAGTATTGTCTCCAAAACCGCAAAAACCCTTTTTCTCGAGTTATTAAGCGATTTGTGCTACTTGCAATAATAAATTTGGGTCTCCAGTGCTTGTCACACAGCATCGAAAGTTTCCCTCCTTTCTGGGTTATAAATCTCATTCAGTCGGTTCCCAAATCTTTCAATAATGGATCTCAATCCATCCGGATTAGTCTTTGAACAGGACTTGACAATGATATTTGGTTTTTCTTTCAACATTTCAGTAAGATTCATTTCTTCTACAGCCTAAATAAATTATAGCATGTCTTTATACAAAAGCCAAGTCATTTGTGCAGGTTAGCATGAATTGGTTAAGAATTTATCTTGATCCAGACCAGGAGTATGCACGCATGGCGCTTGTCAACACATGAGATTCGCTTGAAAAGGCGCTCAACATGTCTTAGGTTGGTAATATGACCCGCCCCCTGATCTAGACAATATTGTTTAAAAGCCTGAGGTGTTCCAAATATATTTCTATATGAACAAGATTATGCTCAATTCTCATACGTGTTCAGATAGTTTTTTTCTCAAATTTCTGTGTATTGTACCGCTATATCCCTGATCTAATGGGTGAAAAAATGCAATATAGTATGCACTTACTCTCTCCTCTGTACATGCACCCTCCAGATCTTGTTTATTGCAAAGGATTAGCCAAGGTTTAGTTGAGAGTTCCGGATTTTGTATTGCTTTATATAATGCATCTGTTGTCTCGTGAAGTTCATCTTGTGTGCAGGAACCATCAACAACAAATATAACACCTTGAATATCATTAAAGTATCTATGCCAGTACTGTCTGATTGAAACCGCACCTGAATAAGATAATAAAGACATTTTAAAATCATACTTTAAACTTAGATGAGCGTCTCACAGCTAATCTTAGATGACTCATAAAATAATACAAAGAATTTTAAATTAATGACGTTACTCCATGCACAGTTTGAACAAGGTTACCGTCACTTATATGGGAATCTTATGTTGTATTGACTCGTTTCATTAGGGACAATGTGCCAAATGTTCACTCTACTTAGCCTATCAATCATTAAGCAAAAGGTAGGTTGTTCTACATTCCATATTTTAAACAAAAATTGTTCCCAATGTGAGATAATAATCATCATTGGTCATATTTAGAACAAACCTCCAAGTTCTTTAACTTTCAACACAGCATTTGGCAGTCTGATGTCTTTGATGATGAAACCTTTATGCAAGAAATATTAGTCAGGGATTTGAGACTGACGTTAAATTGAAGATTAGATTCGAAATTGAAATTAAATACTTTTAATAATATCAAAGGTGAACAATTCTTAACCCAAAGAAATGATACAAATTATGATGTATATTTCGTTAAACCAACATAAGGCAAAGCATAGTAAGTTATATAATATACCATAAATATAATAATATATATATATATAATATACCAAAAAATAACTCACCGACAGTGGGTACAATTGCATCAATGTTTTCTGATGTAAGGACACTCAGTAAAGTAGTTTTTCCAGCATTTGTTATTCCTAGGCATAACAAATCATATACAGGTATTGCAGGAGGTTCTTTGATACAGCAGCATTTCTGGTACACCTGAATAGTGATATTGGATTACCTCTATAGCACTTTGCTTCAAAAAATAAGTTATTTTTGCGATTTATTACAAAATGAGTTTAATACAAAAAATGGGAAAAAGCTCAAAAATAATTTAAAATCGAATTGAAAGCATTTTTTTGAATGTGAAGGCTCCACATTTATTCAAGTGAAGATCCAAATGATCTGGACTGCCTAAAACTGTAAAACGTCACCGGTACCGGTACACAACGATTAAAGTTGCAGCCTCACCGTGAAACAACAGATACGACAAACTCCACAGCAAATTGCTGGCCATTCACTCATCGCATTAAAAGACTATTCTGTTCCAGTCCCGAGTATCGCGGTTGTAAAATTAAACCGGACTGCAATGATCCAATTTTTTTTTTTTTTTGTCGTTGAATTCCTTCGACGACAAGCAAAACTAACAGATATGTCCAGTGTTCCTATATATATATATACCCTTTGGTGTTCCCAATTGAAAAAAAAATCCTACGCGGAATAAATACAATCTGATTGATTTATCTCTGCTCGGTCGCGTGACTGCACAATACCAAAATATTATTGAGAGCTGGACCTCTGAAGACGTAGACCCCGACCAGGGAGTTACCGAATTTTTCTATTTTAATATTCTGCCCTTCATGCAGTAACAGCTACTTTCAACAATTACAATTGCTTTTGAAAATTCTATAATATACGCAAATTAAAAATGAAGACTTTTGGAAGCTAGCAAAGAGTTGAAAATTAGAAAAATATCATGTGCCCACTCATAAAAAAGTCACAAAAAATACAGACCCTATTCCAGTATTCAGCAAGGCTTTTTAATGGAGCACCATTTTATCTACAGGTATCGTAAATATAAAAATACAAGAATTCAAAATCCTGCCATCAAATGTCTGGATGTAAGGACTTGTCAAGATGAATCCTGGGAATTCCAAATTATCAGAACAATCTCTGGGATTGAAAACAAAACCACATCAGCAACCTAACTTGGATGGATTCGTGTTTACAAAGCGCTTGGGAAGCGGAACATATGCGAATGTATATAAAGCCTATAAAAAAGTGAGCATAGTTATTTTTTGGGTCTAGTATAGTTTAGTACCACAGGTACTTCCGGTGGGCGTAGCATAAAGAATTTTGCATATGCTATTCCTAACCCCCACCTGAATATGCCATCCAAAAATTACGTCTCTACGAAGTCACCATCACGTCATAGGGATTGCCAAAGTATAATTACGATCGCCTGAAATGACATCTGCGGCGCCGATAACGAACTTTCCAAAGCCGGCGATCTCTCTCCTATAGTGATCGTTGTGACGAGAAAACGAAAGAGATTGCTTGCTCGATTTCGGGTGATCGTCTGTTCGTTTTGGACGATCATTCGCATACTTCGGTGGGCCTTATTACGCCACTGTGACGTCGAAATGAAGTAATTTTTTGGTGACGTAGTCAGGTGGGGGTTAGGATTGACATATGCAAAAACTGTTGAGCCAGGTAAACTAGAAGGACATGTGGTACTAAACTATACCAGACCCTATTTTTTAACAATGCTTGTTCGGGCTTTTTGCTTCGAGCAGGAGCCTATACCAGGGCTACTCTAATGGCGAACCGCGGTCCGAATCTGGACTTTTCTCGAGTATTTGATTCGGACTGCAACTGATTCTTTATTTTGGATCATTAGCCCCACTTTTGCAGCTTCTTTTTATAAAATCACTTTGATAATTTTGAATATTATGAAAAGAACTATAACCCCATAATAAACAATCTTGATTAGCTAATAATCATTAGCCAGCCAAGAAAATGGGCGTTTAAGGAAGCGGAAATATATTTTCTGGAAAGACCGGATCCAAATAATTTTGAAGTTTTGTATGCGTACCTTAGGTGAAAATAGTTGAGCATCCCTGCCCTATACAATCATCCACTGTTATATTTTGTGCAAGTTTCAAATACTTTTCATACCTTCACTTCAAACAAGGCACAAGACAAGTAGTGTGTCTTACGTCGGGAGATACCATACATTTGATATCTATGGTGACAAAATTGGGTTCAACATTTCCACCTAATTTATGATTTGTTACCTTGTAAAACGTATCTGTGAATGTGAAAAATTTGAAATATTGCATTGCTAATTTTTGGTGTGAAGCTTTTAAATTCAAGATGTGGATGATAACGTCAAGGTTATTTTATGACATCTGTCCACCATGTATGTTGTAAATCATGCTACCTGTTGTTTACACCTCCCTCCATGAATTTCAACCAACTAAATATTTCTACACATCCTATAGACTGGACAATTTTCCTATTTCCACCTGACTTGTCGAGCTTTCTAGTCAAAATATCCAATCTTATTCTTTCATAATACCATAAATAATTATATTTCAGAGCAGTGATCAGCGAGAAGTCCATGCAATAAAATGTATCAAAAAATCAAGTCTAAACCGAGCATCGATGGAAAATTTACTTGTCGAAATTGAGATATTGAAGCAAATCGATCATCCTCATATTGTTAAAATGCTCGACTTCCAGGTAATATTAATAGAATAAATACTTTGCCATCTTTAGAAAAACTAAAACAGAAGACACTGCTCAGGCATCAGCTTGGAAGGTTATGTAGTCGGACTTGACCATGATTTTCCAAATTCTTTCATAAGCTTTAATCAAATTTATTCTAATTTCAAGTGGGAACACAGTTTCAGAAAACACCTTGAAACCCTCATTATTCTCTCGGCTCTTAACTATTTTCAATTTGGAACCAAAGTTTGTGTTATTGTGAGTCAGTCACAACTGGGTCATTTATTTATCCCTGGGCAAGGGAAAAGATGAAAAATATACCTAATCATACGTAAATATCTTTGACATCTTACTACCAGATGGTTGTTGGATAATCTGTTTTGAAAATTGGTTGCTCTATAAGGTTACTATTGTACCATACATATCTAAACAATTTTTTGGGATAGGAAGTTTATAATTCGCTAATAATGCCTAGATTAATACTTTTATTATCTGTTTTATTTTTGACTATATTCCTTTTTGGGTTGACGGCTCTTTCATTAGCGTTACTATAAAACTATTTATAAATATTTTGATTTTGTTTGTCAACCTTTTAGTTCGCAATAGATGCTTTACTGAGCCATGCAGGCTTATGTAAAGCCATTTGAGTAGTACTAATTTTGGAAGGAGCTCAGTACGCCTGATAGAACCAGCAGATTTGTCAATTTCACCTGTGTCAAATAGTTTGTTTCAGTGATTGATATTATTATTGAACTGAAGTTATTGTTGTGTTCATTATTTTAGTGGGATTCAAATTACATCTATATTATCATGGAATATTGTTCTGGAGGAGATTTATCTAGATTTATTTCAACAAGAAGAATGTTACCTGAATTTTTTGTGAAAAGATTTTTGCAACAAATTGGTAATTCACTTACCCTGATACTTTTAGGTTATTGTTATAGTTCATTTTGGTAGTTATGTAAGGATTTTAAAATTTGATTTTTTGAGTTAATTTCACAATGTTTAGAAAAATTGTAATTGTGAATTTATAACGTTTATTCAATCAATTAAACTCAATTGATTAAAATCAGAGAAGAAGTTTTTCCCATCAAAAAATTTCCCCCATCTTCTGGAAAACCAACACTACACTGTTATATTCTCAAATGACTCAACAAATAATACCTTTTTATTCTCATTCGAACTCTTTGCAATAAATTAAAAATTAAAAAAAATTTTTTTTTTTTTTAGTACAAATTAGCATTGGTATCCAACTTCTAAATTTATAACCCTTTTGACTTGGCATGAGGCATAATAATCTGTCATTTGTTGAATCAAAAAAGATGAAATCAATGAAATCTTAAATTTTCTATTAATATTTGTAATTTTAAATTGAAAAACAGTTTTACGAATAAGAATTGTTTTCAGCTTCTGCACTTCAACTACTTCATAATCACAACATATCTCACATGGATTTGAAGCCACAAAATATTCTATTGACCTCTGAGGAACAACCTGTTTTAAAAGTCGCTGGTATGTTAATACTACATTCTTGCAAAAAAAACAACGGAATGATATGTATTATTAGTATCAGTAGAGGTTGCGGGAGACTAACTCCCAATTCTTCCCCAATGCATGTCTGATTTTAGTCAGACGAAACGTCACAGAGATACATACATTTGTGTTAGTGTGCAACGTGACTCTTGAATTGCATTGTATTATGAGTTGTTGGCCCTATGCAAGCAGTTATTGATATCTGGAAGGACCGGATTCTTTCCGCAAAGTACTTTCCAACTACCATATATACACTACCTTGTAAATAGCATGTATGCCATTCCTAATCAATCAAGTTTAAAATATTGATAAAGAGAGTGAGAGTTGCAAAGATGTAGTCTACTTTAATAAACCACTGTTTTATAAAAACAACAGTTCCTTACTTGAAATAGCCAAATATTGATTCCTCAATTTTAAATCTCTCAAAGTATAACCCGTTTAGTTTGTAAGCAGAGTTTGAATTTATTATATTGTTTAATTTGTTTCTATAGATTTTGGATTTGCTCAATATCTTGAATCATCAGTAGTTGACACGTTGAAAGGTTCTCCATTGTATATGGCTCCGGAGATTATAACACAGAGGCGATACAATGCAAAGGTACAGTATTGGTAATAGATGTTAGAAATTGCTTGTTTTAAATTATCGATATACGGCTACAAATATATTGTCATAATATCAGGTTTTTAAAAATTCGAATTAGTAGTTAGTTTGATTCTGTTAATTTATAATTCATTGTTTTTTGAATGAAAGTGAAATTTTTCAATGCAAGTCACACAAAGTTGTGTGGGTTTCAATGTGAATCAGAAAACATTATACCAATAATGATCGTTATTCATTCATTATGTTAATTAAGAGTTGAGAGTTCGAGATTTTTGATTGTAATGATTTCAACAAACCTAAAAAGAAAATACTCTGCTGTGCTGAAGATTCCAGCTCTAAGATTAAAGATGACAAAAATATCAATATAATTGAGTATTTCCGAGCTCGCATTTTTTTCTTTCTAAATAATTTAATTAACTTATCTAAATTGCTGCATTTTGTCTTATTTGCTGCGTAAAATAACATTTAGAATGTAGGTAATTCATTGACGTTGCTGTTTGGTTCACTGGATATATAGAAGTCTAAAAAAACTTCATTATACAATTTGTTTTCTTGAATGCAACTCTTCAGGATAATGTGTATTGGGTACTCCCAAAGTGTGTGTATCAGGTTAGGGTTAGGGCATATTTTATTCCTATTTTCCATAGTTTAATTCTATTACGAGTTCGTGGACTGCCTGTGTTAGTCAGGTGAATATACCCCCTCCCCATAGTTTTCAGTCCCTTCACACAACTTGATGTAAAGTAAGCGAACAAAATTAGTTACCTCCATATTGGTACGCACACTTCTGGAGCGCCGTGTATAATTATTTCTGTTTGAATCATTTATTCCGGCCTATTACTTGTGGCAGTCTAATTACACTGCTGCTTTTTTATTTCTGCAGGTTGATCTATGGTCGATAGGTGTGATTCTTTATGAATGTTTATATGGAAGAGCACCATTTGCTTCCAATACATTTGTTGAACTTGAAAATAAAATCAAAAGCGATAAACCAATTGAGGTAAATATTCTGATATTACAATTTACAATCATTGTTTGAATTTTTGAAGTATTTTTACTTCGTTCAATACATCTGTTAGGGCCAAAACAATATATGGTATCAATAAATTCCCTTTTGCAATTTGAAAAAAAATGTAAGACTTCGTGGACACCCTACTGTACTGAAAAGATACCAGTTTTTACAAGTCGTAGTACCGACTGCATTCCAGTCGTTTGTCTGAAATATTTTGGAGAAAAAAGTGTGAAATGTTTCATAAAAAAAAATCCAATTAATGATTAAAATATTCAAAGCTCCTTCCTGAAAATAAGTAACTTCACAATATTTGTATTTCAGTTGCCAAGTTACCCAAGAACATCAGATGAATGTAGTGCTTTATTGTACGGTCTGCTTCAACGTGATCCAGATGATCGAATAAGTTTTGATGAATTTTTTCTTCATCCTTTCGTTGATCTTGAACACAAACCATCACCTGAATGTCTGACGAAAGCAGTATGTTGAGTTACATTCTTGTAAAGTTATTCCAATAGCGGTCGCATTTCCGGGACGGTGAACAAAAATCGCATTTGGTGGTGTTTTATCATAAAAAAAAAACTGGAAATTCTTTTAATATATTGTTACATCACTAATGTCAATGAATTGACCAGTGTTATGGCTAGCTGGGGCAACTAGTGAAGTTGAATAATGTGCTTGGCTAGTCTAAATTGTTAACTGACTTTCTATATTTTTGGTCAGGAATATATGCTAACAATTTTGACATCACAGAAAACAAAAAATTGAATGAGGAATCTATTAGCCTAGGTTGGCTATGCCTGATAACTAAATATTAAGGTTGTGGCCGAACCATATAATTTCTGCCGGGTGTTTTTTTGCAACCAGCCTGAACAGTATTATGCTGCCTATATGCCAGAAAATTTAGTAATTACTCTCCTTAAAATTCTGTAATCAATCAATCTGAAGTTATTTTGTGAACATGAGTTTGAGAAGAAAGCAGATAATACATTGATCTCTTAATTTATGTTAATCATTATGCTTCTAGACATCCGTTGTAACTAAAGCTGTTGAAAGAGATAAAGAAGGTAAAAAAGAAGAAGCTGCAAAACTTTATGGTGATGCCATCGAATATTTTGTACCTGCAATATATTGTGAGTTGAAATTTTACCTTTTTATTTTTATTTGTCGTCAAGATTATATTATTGATATAAGTATGAATCACATGTCCCTCTGGTTGCAAGATAAAATATACAATGCAAAATGTTTTTTATTAAGTATAAAAATTGTACACATGCTCCACAAATTTTTATTGTGGGTACGTCATTTAAAAAGTGCTAATTTAGGAATAATAACAATATTAGGTTTCTGGGAATACGTTTTACTGGAAAAAGATCAATATTGAATATCACAAACTTTAAATTTGGCGATTTAATATTACAACAGCATAAAATGTTTTATTTTTAGATGAGACAGATAAAAGAAAAAAAGAAGTTCTTCGTCAAAAGGTACTATTTTTGTTTTGACAAAGTGAACATTTGTTTGATTAGAGATGTCTAAAAGTCAATATGTATGGAATTCCCTATACTAACACTTCATACAAAATTACTACAATCTTTTTATATTTATAGATCGCTGTAGCTTAGGCCAACTGCAACTGTTTGATGGCTATTTGTTTAAACACTATTTACATGGCAAGATCGCCATCAACTACTTTGTAGGTCTAGCTAGATTCCCAAAACGAAGCAGATTTACGGTAACTGTTTCTATGTTTACTTCAAAATTTTATTTTCAGGTCAAAGAATACATGACAAGAGCTGAAATATTATCACAAGTTTCCAATCATAATGATTCTTGCAAGGAGCAAAGTAAACTTGGTAAGTAATGAAAAGAGAAAGCAATTTTGTTTTTCGAACAAGACTCTGTGTAAACAGTTACTTGCAAGTTTAGGATTACCAGAATAATATGCCTTGTCCAGCAGCCAACCCAATTTGTTATGCTCTGGATGAGGTAAAGGGCTGGGTTGAGTTTTGCAACATCTACATTGATTAGAACAGTGGTTCCCAAAGGGTCCGTGAAGCACTTTCAGAGGGTTCGCGAAAGAAATTTTATATAACATATAGTTTAATAATACAAATATTGAGTGCTTAAATTTGCAAATACACATTTGTCGCCTTTGCAATCACTGCTGGGGACACTGATTCCCCACTTTCTGTTTCGAACATGATGCCCCATCGTGATATCACAGAGCTGTGGGCCAATACACGCTAATAGACTGCAGAGGTGTGGCTGACGCTACCTTTTTGCACATTTGTTGGTATAGGAGGGAGTTACAATAGGGCAATTTATAAAGTATGCCAGTCCGCTTTTAAATGCTGTTTTACGCTTTTATATTGAAAGGTAGATAGCGTTAAGTAAGTAGGGCTTACCCAGAGAGGCACTAAGTTTTATTTTATACCTGTCAAATTTAGCTTTTGACATACAGTGACGGTAGGCCTCTATATTTTTACATTTTCATTTCTGTAATATTAATTTCAAGATGTCTCCTAAAAAGAAATTGAAAAACGACGAATCTTATGTAAAGTTGGGGTTTATTGTAATAAACGCCGTTAGGGGAAGAGGTGTTTTTCACTATACCTTACGGCACCTGATTTTTTGTTGTGATTATTAAATCTTTTGAAAATTTTAGTGCACAAGGCGCTAATCATTTGCGAGGGGTCCGTTATGAAATTTTTGGAGAAAATGTTTGGGAACCACTGGATTAGAACCTCTTTGTGAGCGCGGTTGAATGGGATTACTCTTGCGAGGGAGTTTTTTATTAGTGAAGGATAGAACTTCTAAGCCCAGAGTCAAGTCTCACTGATGGTAAATTGAGAACGATGACAAGTCCAAGTCATTTAGTGACCTGTTGTCCGAGTTGTGTCGAATCACTTACTCAAGCCACCTCACCACCATTTTTGCAAATACCAGTAAGTCCCAGAGAACCTCTTTGGAAAAGATATTTATAAAAGTGTTCATCTAAGTGCAAGAGCATTGTAAAACCGATAAAAACTGATTTGAAGCTTGTGGAATTTAAAATACATTACTGTTTCAGTGCAATATGCTCAAAGCAAACCAGAAGTGATGGAAGCGTTACAAATGTTTCGCCTTGCACAGAATAAGGTACTATATTTTTCTATATATCAAATATCTATGTATTCTTATCTGGTACTCCCATAGTGTGTGTACCAGGTTAGGGTTAGGTCATAATTTTAGTTCAATTTTCCTTATTTCAATTTTTTTACGAGTTCGAGGACTGTCTGTGTTAGCCTAGTGAATATACCCCCTGCCCATAGGTTTCAGTCTCTTTACACTACTTGATGTAAAGTAGGCGAACAAAATTAGTTACCTCCATATTGGTACACAAACCATAAGAGGATATATTTTGTGTGAGAATATCTGCTATATTATCGTTGATTGTGTAGCGTTCATTTCACTTAGTTTAGCCATTCATTACCCTAATGATTCTTGAAATTACTGAAATCGTGTGGTATTGAATGAGTGAGTCACCAAACTTTGTACAGAACTCCAGTACAACCCAAACTCTCCAATATAGATTTTGTACCAAACTTATTCTTTATCAGTTATTTTTTCAGGCAGGGCAAGATAATTTGCAAGAAGCAATGGATTTATATGAAAAAGCATTAGAAGCTTTAATATCATTATCCAAAGGTAAGTTCTCGATTTCTTGAAATGGAAATAAATTTTATTTTATCTATTTGCGAAGTTCAATGGTATTTGTGCAATACTTCTCTAAACATTTAACATTAAGAATGCTTCTGCGAGGTTTTTAAATTGGCTATGACGCAGTGATATGAGAATTGTTTCGAAATTTCAAAAAATCTGTATAAAAATGTGTCATCCATGAAGGACTCTGTGCTTTTTCATTCACACAGCACAGTTAATATATAAATACATGTTTACTATACCCTTATATTTGTAGATGATATGTTGTGGCATATGTCTACGGGTCATTCAAAATTTGTTTTTTTACATTTTATTTTCAGTTGAGAAAGACACACAATTGAAAAAATCATTACATGATGAAATAGAAATTTATTTAAAAAGAGCAGAGGATGTCAGGGAAAAGTTGAGGGTAAGAATGTGCCAAGTTTTCATTCAAAAAGTAAAATTTAAAGTCAGGCCAGAATCATGTGTTATTTTCTTGTATAAACATGCTTGCAGACTAAATGGATTGGTGCTCCAGAAGTGTGTGTATCATTATGGAGGTAATTAATTTTGTTCGCTTACTTTACATCGAGTTGTGTAAAGGGACGGAAGCCTATGGGTAGGGATGGGCAATATAGAATACCGAATCCGGAGGATTCGAATCCCAAAGTATTCGAATCCAACGAGATCCGATAACAGGATTCGGTTTCCGCCTCTCCGGCGCCAAGCGTCAATTTTTGTATTTCGGGTTTCTAATTTATCAATTATAGACGAGCGTTTTTCTCGCGTGGAAATCTCTCTCGTTTAATTAAACTTGCGTCTGCTCGCAAAGAACCCGTAAATCGGTAAACATCAAACACTGTAAAAATTTCAATCGGCATATTCAGGACAAGAAGTCAGTAATATAACCTCACGGCGGGGACTCGTTATTGCACCATTTTTGCGTTTTCCTTCTTTGCTATCTAGCTAGCGTTATTTGTGCCGACTTACTGGTGATATTCCGATAATCTGAATGCAACAATCTTTAATTGTTTACAGACGTGCCTTGCCTCATTTTAAATTAAATGATTTTTCGCGACCTACGAGTTTTCCCAAAAAAATGATGCACGTAAACCAAAAGCCAGGCGTTAAATGATATAACATTACTCGCCATTAATTTAGATCAAATATTATTTACGATTTCATTATACCATTTTCCGAAATACAAAGTTATATCGCAAAACGCGAACAACTGTCACATTTAAATTTCACTCTCAAAAGATTACATATTTTTCGGTCCGTTTCTATCGTTCAAGACATACGCACATTTGATCGAGTGTCTGTAGTATTTTAGTCGCCGATAAATTTTGAAAAAAGTTGTCACATCTGGCGAAGATAGTGACGTATTGAATTTGAGTAGGGCTAAGTCTGGGTAGATAATGATTAATGATAACATTTCTATCGTTCAAGATAGACGCACGTTTGATCGAGTGTCTGTAGTATTTTAGTCGCCGATAAATTTTGAAAAAAGTTGCCGCATCTGGCTAAGATAGTGACGTATCGAATTTGAGTAGGGCTAAGTCTGGGTAGATAAGGATTAATGATAACATTTCTATCGTTCAAGATAGACGAGTCTGTAGTACTTTAGTCGCCGATGAATTTTGAAAAAAGTTGCCGCATCTGGCGAAGATAGTCCCGTATTGAATTTGAGTAGGGCCAAGTCTGGGTATATAATGATATGTAACGATAATCATAGAAAATGAGTTCGTCTTCAGATGTTATTACCTAATAACTAAGTACGAAATCGCGTTTACGGGAACTTGATTTTACGTGTCTTGCTCTCACAGAATAAAAGGTTGATTTTAATTGATAGTGGTTAAATTTTATATTTTACAACGGCGCATAGGTTGCAGTGGCCACACGCTGGTTCAGCATCTAATTAATTCTCAGCGGGTATGTTTTAGTATACTCGGCAGACTTACATTAATAATGATTTAACGCCGTTTCATGTCTATTTTGTATTTAACCGCTTACTATTAAAGTGTGTAAAGCGTGTCTTAATTTAGCATATCAGTATTTATTAGTATTTAGGGATTACATACATTTGGAATAATTGAAGGCAAAAAATATTGTAATATTCCTAAATTTTATTGTCCTGGGAACTGCCTGTTTAGTATCAAATGAAATCCAATGTTCCGGACATTTTCAAATAGATAATACATTTATAGTAAGTAATACATTTGTAATTAGGAAATAAAAAATAGAATAGGATTCGGTATTCTGGATTCGATTTAACTATTCTAGAATATTCTAGAATAGTAAATTATTCTACATTGCCCATCCCTACCTATGGGCAGGGGGTATATTCACTTGGCCAAAAATAGACAGCTCCGGAACTCGTAATAGAACTAAAATGAAGAAAATCGGAATAAAGTTATTGCCTAACGTTAACCTGGTAAACAGACTACGGGCGTACCAATTGTTGTTTATAAAAGATATTCGCGAGAATAGCATGAGCAAGATAACATAATTAATTTTAACTAATCGTATTGGAAGACTTGATATTTTTATTATATAAAATAGAACTCAAAAGATGAGAAAGAAAAACCAGCATCTTCACAACATCGTAAACCACGGTTTCAAGTTATAATGGAGGAAGATGATCATAATACAAAAAGTAAGCATTTCAACTTTAGTATTTCACTTGCATGCTTATTTCAAGAGAATTACATAAAGTATCGAAGATTTCTATTTTTTCGTTTGCGTAATTTTTTGTATTTCGTATCATTTACCACCTGGGATAGGCAAGGTTTTTTGACCTGGGGCCAGAAATTTTGCCCATCTAGACTTGCGGGCCATGTAAGTTACGTTTTATGAACAATATTTACAGTGTTACAAAAACAAAAGTGGAAAACAATGATGGCTGTGCCGAAACTAAATTTAATCACAATCTTAACAAATTTCTTGAGTTACTTTTTAGCTAAAACATCAAAAATTATTTTTAATTTGGTTGTGGCAGCATCAGGCGGGCCAGATTGAATTACCCAACGGGCCGGGCCGGTCCATAGTTTGCCTTGTTTAGTTGTAAAAATATGTTTTGCACGATTTTTAATCTTTCTGTTACAGAATGCGTTGTGCAGTAGTACATGTAACAGCAACATAAATCGCCTTCACTGTGTCAAAGGAGCCGCCATCACTCGTTAATTCTCATCACTCTTATTAAAGCAAATTTAAATATAATATATATCTATGTCTTTATCGTATTTTTTGTTCTATTTGTGCAGATAATTTTATCCGATTCATGCCTAATTCAATACTAATTTTATGTTGTGATATATCATAGTATTATTTTATCTTAAGAATCTTTTTACCATGCCATGAAAAGGAATTTCAATGGTTTTGTTTAAGAACTTGCATTTGTTTAAAAAGTCCAAATTCCTCTGAGCCTAATTTATGCATTGTTTTATGTTTCACTTTTATTGATCGATTTTATTGAATTTTTGATATTTGATACATTTAGTCAGTGTTGGTGTTATTTTTAATCGCAGCGAGGTTCAACCATTGGACAACGTTCTTTGTCATCTTCGTTGCCATTTTGTTCGGTGTTGTGTTAAAATTAGAAGATATCTGGATGATGATCTCTACTAGATGATATTATTATCCAAACTGGACTGATAACATCAACCAATTCAGACACATGCAGTATTTGAATATATTTTTGTGCAATTTTGATCTTTTTATCTATTGTTGTGCGCTTAATGGTAATAAGATCGTCTGTTTTGCTTTTTACGGAATTTGACTTACACTGAGGCACTACAGTTGTAGTTGGCGACGTCAAACTTTTTCGAGTCGAAATTTCAGACTTCTATCGATCAACTTTTGAGTTGAAATATTTCCTACTGAGCTAGCAAGCGATGAAACTTTCTATATTTGATATAATGAAGGTGGTATTGCAGTTTTTAATCGATTTTTGAATTGCTCGAATTCTGAAGAAATAGATAACATCCGTCATTGTGCACAAAATGACAACATACAGGACAATAAATTCAGGATAGTTGCCAAGGTTTGTGACAACAATATACCGTAATATATAATCGATCTTCAATTGTGCCACTGAATATGAGGTAAGAAAAACACTGAGATTAGACAGCATTTGTGAGTACGTTGAAAGGTGCTGGAATGTGCGAGTTTTGTGTCAAATTTCCAAGAAAAGTATTTGTAGGGATTCACCAAAGTGTAAATAGCACAGAAAACCTATATTCTGAACCTTGGGATTTGAGAATATTTGTCATTATCACTTTCCAAAATAGCGAAGGTTTTTGCTCAAAGAAGTCACCGTTCAGGACGATCCATTTTTTCAACTTGTATTTTTTTGAAAATCGGTATTGCAGTGAGACACACTATCATACGTTATTTTCGACACCCTTTTTCTTTATTCGTGAACGATTCACTGATAACCCGACGTTTTTGACCTTCAACAAATCCTTCCTTCCAACGAACAACTCTAGATAGATAGCTTTCCTCTCCCCCGGGATAAATATGTAAATCCTATCCTATTAGGCTTTTCAGTATAGCGTGAATAATTCCGGTGGTGAAGTAATTCTGTGGGGAGCAGCTTTTGTAAGCTCAAAATTGACCACGATTGCATGCGGTAGCTTTTATTGTGTGCTCCGGATTACCGCAGAGCGATCAAAATATCATGACGTTGCCAGCAACAACCCTTGGAGATAGGCAATGTACTTCATTTTTGGGTCAAGACCTTGTGCGCCCGTCGATTTCTTTGAATCGCCTTTCAGATTTGTGTGTTTTTCGTTGACATTTTAGGGATAAATTCTATACTACATCAACAACGTTCAACAACATGTTCTTATTTGCTACAATGTTTTCAGATGTCTAAAACATTATCACGGGGGAGAGGAAAGCCGATAACACGGCTTAATCATATGATGAACCACGGCCTCCCGTCCCGTTACCAGACCATGTCCTACAGGGGTGGTAGCACAAAAGTCATATTGGGGGTGTCAAAATAGGGCTGACGAAATAGGGTCGTCGAGTCAAGTTAGGGGTGTCGAAATACGGTCGGTGTTATATATTATGTTGAGCTTACTATCATAGCTTGTTTACTACTCTATCTGCTTGTGTGCTATATTGTTACGTCACAATGCTGTCTAGTGCCGTAAGTTGTTTTTCCTCTGTTTAGAGGTCTTTTGTTCTGAACTAAGTTGACGGACGGATGTCCAAATAAATCGCGTGCAGTTTTGTAATGAGTCTGTATTCATTACTTGTTATAAAGATATAACAAATTGGCGACGAGGATTAAAAAGCCTTTTTGTGCCGTTTTGTAGCCATTTCTTGGGGAAGGAAGGAAAATATATCGAAGTTACAGCTTAATTTCGAGGATAGATCAGAGAACAGTCGCTGGACTGCGACGGAGTTAGAACTGATTATTGCAGCATAATCAGTGACTTTGGATATTCATAGTGAACAGCATTCACTGGACTGGGAACCCAAGGCCTGTTATTATATTGAATTAAACGGCAGTAAATTATTTGAGCATCGTTGAAGCACGATTGCTACTGTTAACAGAATAATGACGTCAGCATCATTGGAAGTTGCGCAATTCAACATTAATCGCCCAGACGAATGGCAACAATGGCTGCGACGATTTGAAAACATGTGCCTCGCCATGTCGGTTGACAACGCCGAGAGAAAGAAAGCGTTATTATTACATTTTGCGGGACCTGAAGTTTTTGACCTGTATGAGAATTTGCCCGCACCGCCGAATGCAGATGAAAATGATAATGTTTATGCCAACACCGTTAAGAAATTGGATAATTATTTCGTGCCAAAGATAAACATTGATTTTGAATGTGATGTTTTCAGGAATGCAAAACAGAAATTTGGCGAAAATATTGATACTTATGTGGCACGTTTGCGTAAATTAGCTGTTACCTGTAATTTTACGGATGCTGATCGTGAAATAAAACAGCAAGTTATTTCTGGTGGATGTGATTCTAGAGTTAGGGAAAAAGCTCTACAGCAGCGTATGTCTCTTCGAGAACTTCTGGATTATGCAAAAAGTCTAGAACAAGCAAAGCAACAAACAAAACAAATTGAACAACGTCACACGAGACCAGAGAAATTATATGAAATTGATGTGCAGCGTGAAAAGAATTCCGATAGCAAATCCAAGCCTAGAGCACCACAGCTTTCTTCGGCTAGAGGGGGTAAGTCTCTTAGATATTTTCGCTGCGATAGTTCTAAGCACTTTGCCCGTGAATGTCCATTTAAAGATGCCAAGTGTTTTTGTTGTGGTAAAAAGGGCCATACCAAGAGTGTGTGTCGATTCGATTCAAGAAATCAAGTCAGTATAGACACGGCCAGAGAAGTAAGCAATGTAATTCTCAATGTTGTATCGCTGGTGATAAGAATACGCCGGGCGAAAGTGAAACGAATGAAAACTCTGGTTCATCATACGAATTACATCATACAGTGTCGTCCGTGCAAAATAACAATGTGGGTGTGAAATGCAATCCAATCTATCTTGATCTTGACATCGATGGCAAAAACATTTCTTGGGAAGTAGATACAGGGGCTACACTATCTGTCATGTCTTTAGTGCAATATAAAAAGTTGTGGCCAAAAGCAGAATTGAACCACACCGATGTTAAACTGTCTACATACACGGGGGAGTCTATTCCAGTAGAGGGAGAAAGGGATGTTACTGTAACGTATCAAAATGGTAACCCAATGGTATTGCCAATCACTGTGGTAAGAAATAGTAACCGCTGTAAACCATTGCTGGGGAGAAATTGGTTGAAACATATCAAACTTGATTGGAATTCAATTTTCAAAATTAACTATTCTGATGTTAAAATCAGTACACTGCTTGATAAGTATCCTGAATTGTCTTCACCTGGATTAGGTTGTGCAAAAACTGAAGCTAAATTGGAGATTGATGACAGCGTTAAGCCTAAATTTTATAAACCACGACCTGTACCTCTTGCACTCAAAGAATTGGTCGAAGCTGAACTTGATAGGCAAGTTGAAATCGGTGTTTTGAAGCCATGTAAAACATCCGATTGGGCTGCACCTATGGTTACCGTATTAAAAGCTGATCAGAAGTCAGTTCGGCTCTGTGGAAGTTATGACTTGACTGTAAATAAAGCAAGTCGTCTTGAGCAGTATCCATTGCCAAAGGTGGATGAATTATTGACTAAATTTGCTGGTGGGGAAAAATTCTCTGTTATTGATCTGAAAGAGGCATATCTGCAGATACCATTGGCAGAAGAGAGTCAAAAGTAACACAGTAGTTAATACACATAAGGGATTATTCACGACAAATCGTCTTGTTTATGGAATATCAAGTGCCCCAGCTATATTCCAGAGATATCTTGAAACACTGCTGGGTGACATAGCAGGTGTAGGTGTTTTCCCAAGACGATATTGGAGTAACCGGTTCTTCTGATAAAGAACACATAGCCAGATTGGAAGAAGTTTTCAAGCGTCTTACAAATGAAGGTCTAAAAATTAATCCAAACAAATGTAAATGGATGGTTTCAGAAATTACTTATCTTGGATATCGTATAAATAAACTTGGAGTTCAACCAACTGAAGATAATCTGAGAGCTGTTCTGGATGCCCCAGAACCACAAAATATACATCAGTTGCGCTCATATCTGGGGATGCTTAATTATTATGGTAAATTCATTAAAAATTTATCAATTGTTGCTGCTCCTTTGTATGAACTTCTTCGTTCGAATGTTCGATGGCACTGGAATAAAAGGCAAGTGGAAGCTTTTAAGGAAACGAAATCGCTATTGTGTAATGCTCCATGCCTTGCTCATTTTGACGGAAATGCCGCCGTCATTGTTTCTGCAGATGCCAGTCCTTATTGGAATCGGAGCAGTTTTTATCTGTAATAACGCAGGAAGGAGAACGTCCTGTGGCTTTTGCATCCAGATCTTTGTCAAAACCAGAGCGTAATTATAGCCAATTGGATAGAGAGGGATTAGCTCTAGTATTCGCTGTTACAAAGTTCCATTCATTTTATATGGAAGACCGTTTGTTTTGGAAACTGATCACAAGCCACTTCTCGGTTTACTTGGGAAGAATAAGCCACTTCCTGATGCAGCTCCACCGAGAATGATCCGTTGGAAAGTATTACTTGATGGATATCAATACGAATTAGTGTATGTTCCAGGTAAAAACCAAGCCAATAGCGATGCACTAAGTCGTTTGCCTTTGCCTGTTAAACCGGATTATTTACCGCCTTGTGGTATGTAGTGAATCTTCTGAAGCAGTCGATTCTACCCTTGTTAAAGTTGATGCAATTCAGTCTTGGACGAGAAGAGATCCTGTACTGTCCGCAGTTATGCATCATACTCAAATGGGCTGGCCAAATCTTTTGACATAGACCCAGAATTACAAATTTATAGAAGCCAAAGAGACGGAACTAAGTGTCCATGAAAATTGTTTATTTTGGGGTTGTCGAGTAATTATTCCGCACAAGAAGACAGAAAGTGTTGCAATTACTTCACGATGGTCATCCTGGTATTTGTTCTATGAAAAAAATTGCTTCGTAATCATGTATGGTGGCCTGGGGTTGATGCTGATATTGAAGAGTTGGTGAAATCTTGCAGTTTGTGTCAACAGTTACGTCCCAGTGCACCTCAAGTTCCTGCTAGCCCATGGTCTTATCCTAATGGTCCATGGCAAAGAATACATATGGACTATGCCGGTCCAGTTGATGGGAAAATGCTTCTTGTTATTGTTGATGCGTTTAGCAAATGGCCAGATGTGTGGATTACATCGTCAGTTTCTGCTCATGAAACTATTGAAAAAAGTCAGACTTTCATTTGCTACACATGGATTACCACTAGTTGTAGTCACTGACAACGCTGGTTGTTTTGCAGGAGACGAATTTGCAACATTTCTAAAGGCAAATGGAGTGAAGCACTTGTTTTCACCACCGAGACATCCGGCTTCTAATGGCCAAGCTGAATCAATGGTAAAACAAGTTAAACTTGGATTGAAGAAACAAGCACCAGCATCTTTGTCAGTCAGACTTGTTCGGTGGTTATTTAAATACCGAACTACACCACATACAACGACTGGTCAGACTCCGTCGGAATTACTTTTTCGTCGTAAGATTAGAACGCATCTTGATCTAATCGCACCTTCATCACGTTTGAAGAAGTCAGCAGAGAATGTTCCAAGTGGAATAATAAGAACTTTTCACATTGATGACCCAGTTTTTATTACAGAAGTCGTTGGATCTCGTTTCAAATGGTTACCTGCCACAGTAACTGAAGTTATGGGTCAAATGTGTCGTGTTCGTTTGAACGATGGAAGAATTTTTAGACGTCATCTTGATCATATTCGACATCGATTTTCTGCTGATGATGTAATGGTACGTGAAGGGAATCAAGATTTTAGAATGAGTGAGAGAATACCAGCTGCAATTCCAACAGGAATACCTGATGTTGATGTGGGAGATAGAAATTCAACTCCGACCTCTACTGCTATTGAAGAGACTGATGAATCTCAAAATGACAGAGACAATGTAGACCCAGTTCCTAATTTTCCAGAATCGTCCAGTAATTCAAACATACCTTATAAAACAAGATCTGGCAGAATATCAAAACCGCCAGAAAAACTATCTCTATAAGAAGTTTTATAATTTTGTACTGGACAGAATTATAGTTGTAAAAGTTTCTTTGAATTTCTTAGTTTCTTTGTGAAATTCTGTACGTTGCTTGTTTTTGCAATATTTTATACCATTTGATTGGGAATGTTGGAATTCGGGTAATTGTGTTGTACATTTATTTTTAATATTTGGTTCTTGAATTTGTACAATATTTCCAAAAAGGGGGGAAGGAGTGTTATATATTATGTTGAGCTTACTATCATAGCTTGTTTACTACTCTATCTGCTTGTGTGCTATATTGTTACGTCACAATGCTGTCTAGTGCCGTAAGTTGTTTTTCCTCTGTTTAGAGGTCTTTTGTTCTGAACTAAGTTGACGGACGGATGTCCAAATAAATCGCGTGCAGTTTTGTAATGAGTCTGTATTCATTACTTGTTATAAAGATATAACAGTCGGTGCGTGTCAGATTGGGGGTGGCGAAATACGGTCGTTCCGTGGTATCATGTTAGGGGTGACGAAATACGGTCGCTGCGAAGAAACCTTAAAGATTTGATTTTCGCATGTCAGAATAGTAGCATCACGTTTTGAACTGGACATATATTTATACCAAACATAGCGTATATTCCGGTAATTTTATGAAAAATATATATGTATCATAGTCAAACGTGGTTTTGTATTTAAACTTAATTTACCACAATTATCTTTCTACTTTTTAATACAGCGATATTGGACGTTAAATACATTTAAAGCAAGTATAGGGGTGACGAAATGCGGTCGTTGTGTGTCAAAATGGGAGTGACGAAACATGGTCGTCGAGTCAAGTTAGGGGTGGCGAAATACGGTCGGTGCGTGTCAGATTGGGGGTGACGAAATACGGTCGCTGCGAAGAAACCTTAAATATTTGATTTCCGCATGTCAGAATAGTAGCAGCACGTTTTAAACTGGACATATATAGTACCAAACATATCGTATATTCCGGTAATTTTATGAAAAGTATATATATATGTAGTATCATGGTTAAAAGTGGTTTTGTAGTTCAACTAAATTCGCTAAATAATTGATCAATTATCTTTTTACTTTTCAATATAGCGTATAAATATAACATATTTTAAAGAGGAAGCTTTCGAGAATCGCTTCTTGGAAAAGTTTATTTTCCTCGAGATGACGTTGACATTAATCGATTTAGATAAAACACAAAACCAATTCAAAATATTTTATGTCTGAATTGTTGAAATATCGAAGGATATGCGTTGTGTTTGATATTACGTGCTGCTACTGTTCTACTATGATGAAATGGAATCTATGAGGGTTTTTCTTCCAATGTGTCATAATACTGCCCTTATAAGAAGTTTTCGAGATATAGCCATTCCAAAAACGATTTATTGAAAATTTTGAAGAGTCTACGGGAAGGCGTGAAATTTTTTTATTATTTCAAAGTAAGCTAGCCGCAACTTATTCCAACTTTCAAAACCGTGCTGCTACTGTTCTGCTATGAACAAATGGAATATAGAAGGGCTCTCCTCTTCTCCTAATGTTGCCTTTATTTGAAATTTTTGAGAAATGGCTGTTTGAAGAAGACCTATTTTTACTATCGAAAATTTTTGAAAGAATCCGCAAGAAGGCGTAAATTGTTCTACTATTACACTGTAATTTACGCAAATTACAACAACTTGTTAGACGTAGAACACGGAATTTGGACAATAGTTTTAGAAAATATTTACTCGAGTATTTAGTAAATTTTAGTTGAACCAAAAAACCCTATTGGAATATTTTTCGAATTGTTAAAAATTCGAAGATTATACGCTGTGTTTGGGATTATATACAGCCATATCAAACCGTGCTGCTACTGTTATGCTATGATTAAATGGAATCTAGAAGGGTGAAGGGTTCTCCTTTTTTCTAATATTTCGTAATGTTGGCTTCATTGTAGGTTATCAAGAAATCGACCAACCAAAACTGTAATTATTCAAAATAAAAAATAAAATCCATGAGAGGCCGTATAATGTTTATAGTTATTTTAAACTATTTCCAACTTATTCCAAGTGTATTAGACGTTCCGTATCGGTGTATGAGACGGTAAAAAAGGTAATTGTTCAATTATTTATTAAATTTATTCGAAATACAAAACCACTTTTACCTACGATAAATATATATTTTTCATAATATTATCGGAATATACACTATGTTTTTGGTATTATATATGGCCAGTTAAAACGTGCTACTACTATTCTGCCATGATGAATTCGAATCTACAAGATTTCTTTTTGTCTCCCAATATGTTGTAATGCTGGCTTTATAGTAGGTTTTCGAAAAATCGCTCATTCAAAACTGTAATTTTTGTACATTTTTAGAGAATTCACGAGGTAGCAAAAAATGTTTTTTATTTTATACTCTCCGATACTTGTTTTAAATGTATTAGACGTTCAGTATCAAAGTAAAAAGATACTTTTTCAAGTTTTCAGTAAATTTAGTTACATAATTTATTTAAACTATGATACATGTATATTTTTCATTAAATTATTTGAATATACGCTATGTTTGGCATTCTATATGACCATGTTGAACCATGCTGCTGTTCTGTCATCATAATGAAATCGAATCTATAGAGTTTCCCTTTTTATTTAAATATGTCGTAATGTTGGCTTTATTGGTGGTCATCGAGAAATACCTGTCTAAAAACGAGTCATTAGATCAACTGTAATCAATCATTCTCATAATACTTGTTTTACAGTTTATTTATTGCTATACTGTTGCTTGTCTATGCAAACTACAGGCTTGTCGCTATAAAAGCAGAAAATTTATCAAACATTTAATTTTTACAAAGAATGACTTTAATGAAATTATTAAAGGCATATGCTATATTACATTCGTGGATGCTAAAAATGTCGTTTGTGCATAGCAGTATCTTAGTCCAAGAAATTAGTAAGAATGCATTTTATCCCTGATCTCATTCGAGCTTCCAAATTTCTGCTTTTCTAGCGACCACCCTGTAAATTTTAAATGCGGCATCCAATGTTATTCAGCGAATCTAGAATTCAACAAACTAATTTAAAAGGTTCCACCGAATAGCACATAGCCGTATAATTATCATTTCATATTTACATATTTACGTATTTTCATTGTGCTTATAATTTTGGTTTGCGGGTTTTGTTTGGTTTTCATTAATCTGCAGTCGGCGTAGTAAAAACTAGAACATAACCACCATGTCAAGTGGCCCGCGCGATCATTCGTGAACTAAATGTGGCCCTTCGGCCAAAAAGGTTGGACCACCCTGCACTAAAGAATGCGTTTCACTTACTTAACATCTTCTGAATAGCGTTTCATCTCTCAAAGACATTCTCATAGAATTCGGTTTCTAACTAAAAGAATGATAAACCAGTGTCAATTACATTCTAACATGGGTATTCTTCCTGATATTTTACATGATGCTTGTAGACCTTATTCATACGAAAACATTTAAGCTTAATTTGATATGATTATTTTTTTTATACCTACTTTGTTGCTCCGAACTTTAACACTCGAACAACTTGACTATTGTAGTGACGTTTTAATGCCCCCATAAAGACGTTACTTTGAGTCATTCACCATTTACATATTTTAAGTAACCAATGACATACACTCACATGAAACCTTCTTTTATAATTTTAGTCATCAATCAAAAATGTCAAATTCGTCAATATCATAATCGAACAAGCAAGTAATTTGTCTGAATTTATATCTAGGTATATTTAATTATTGCTTATATCATCCCAAACGCTTGCCAACTAAATTATTATTCCATTAAAAGTTATTGATGGTTTCGGACAAACCTACAATATCACATCCTAGATGTCTTATCACATCTAAAGCTCTTGTTATTCACGTTATAAATATTGAGTGGTACTGGTAACTGATCTTGATGTCCGCATGATCGTATTGATACCAGTTGCTGTACAGTCTATACCGAGATTTTGTTGCTTACAATTATATTTTGTCGTTTTATTGTTTTCTGTTTGACAAAACAAATAAACTCTCTGCTTAAAATATGAGAAATCTTTTACTATTTCGAGATGTTCAAGACTTCAAGAGCAAAACGTAATAATATATCAAACATACCTTCACATTAAAAATGTTAGTCAAATTAATAATCGAAAAAATTTGAAAGAAACTTTAAGAATTATTTACAATGTTTAGTTAAATTTAATTAGCTGATTTTGATTTAATTTAAATTTGGCATACGACTCGATCCCTCTGCATAAAAAGATTTCGTTAATTTTAGTCTCTCTATGCAGAGTGATCCCAGTCGTACGTCAAATTTAAATTGCATCACGATCACTTTGCACGATGACATAAAACATGTTTTTTCATATCATTTTTATGCATAATTAGGTAAAATAAAATATTAGAAATAAGAAAAAAATTGTTTGACACTATTTGAGGACACGGAAATTTTCTTAAAAAAATTCAACCAACTGTAAAATATTCTGTTATTCGTTTTTCATATCTTGTTTTGAAGCTCCCGACGAACACAAACGTATTTCAGGCAACATTGCACGACAAGATAATAAATATGGCAATATGCACATGTATTTCATAACGTTCGCCTCTGAACTGTGCTTCCGTTTTTGATTTTTATTGAATGTTACATCTAGGACGCGAAGTTCCGAGAGATTGTTCCTCTGATCGTCGACTGTTTTTACAATACGGCTTGCTCTTTTCCTCATTCATGCAATAAAACACCAGATGCATGCACCATTTCATGAATCATAACTTCCAATACCTTTTCAAGGTTTGTCATCGCCGATTTCATAAATAAATTCTATTTATTCCTTTATTTTCTGGCGTCACTACCGGTATACCCTCACATCTTTATTTAGGTTGATAGTAATTAACATAGTCTCAATTGCCACAATAAACATATAAATACTTGACGAATTCCATTTTCAAATTTTAGTGATTCTTGATTTCATCCAGCTCGCTACCACTGATTGCGTACCGGCACCCTACTGCCAGATTTACGGTAACTTGACACGCTCAGTGAT